GTTAATTTTTTAAAAATATATAAAAAAATTAAACTGATTTTTTACTTTTTATAATAGAAATATATCTTTAACTATTAAATTAGACAAAACTTAAGTTAAATTTAGTCAATTTTTCTGATTTTTTTTACTTTATAATAGAAATATGTCTCTAACTATCAAATCAAATAAAACTTAAATTCAATTTTAATAAATTTTTCTCATTTTTTTACTTTTTATAATAGAAAATGTCTTAAACCATCAAATCAGATGAAACTTAAGTTGAATTTTAAATTATTATGTTAAAATAAGATTATTTGGATCTTTTTGCTAGTGTAAATAAATAGTGAATTTAGCAATTTATTTAAATTCATTTATATTGCTATATGAAATATATGCTGACATATAATTTCAGAAAAAGTTGTATATTTACATGAATACAAAAATAATTGTTATTGTTGATTGTATTATACTTTTCTTTCAGATTTGTAATTATGATTAAATCAATGAACATGAAATAATTGAAAATTTTGAGTTCTAAATATTAAAAATAAAATAAATAAATTTAAATAAATTTTATAAAAATAAAAATACATTATAATTAAAATATCTTAAATCAAATAATTCTATACAAGAATAATTAAATGTTTATAATAATTGCTCCTGTATTAACTTTAATGCATAACTTGTTAATATTTCTGCTGCTTGATATTCAAATGGACTTATTGTTTTTAAAATAATATTAAATTGATTTTGTCAATATTTAAATAATTGTAAATCAATATCATGTTATTCTAATGCAGATTTAAAAGCTTTTAAAAAATCAAAAGTGAATTGGTTGCATTCATATAATTTTTCATAAGACTATTCATTGATTCTTCACGCTGTAAACTTGTCATATCTGCTAAAAATATATCTCTATTAAAATAAGGCATCTATTTTTCTTTTATTTTATCTATTCTTTCTAAATATGCTTTACAATCTGAAAAGTCTATTTGAAGTTGTTGCCATTTGATTATAAAATTATTAACTTCATATTCTTTTGTATATTCATAAAATATTTTGTAAAATTATGCCAATTTACGCTTCTAATATACTACATAAATTTTTGATTACATTTTTTCAAAGATGCTATATATATAATATATGTTTACTATTTTGACCAAAAACATTTTATATAGTTTGAGAAATTCTTTATCTTCATCTATAAGTATTACTTTTAGTGGATTATTATTAACTATTTTAAGAAATGATTTAAATGTCTATATAAAACTATTAATAGTTTCTTGACACATTAAAGTTCTAACAAAACATATACTTTGACCAAAATTGTTTACTCCTGTAAAAATTCCAAATAGCATATTAAATTGATTAACTTTGTATATATTGTCAAAATAATTACATCTAAAAATCTACAATATTGTTATTTCTGTTCTGGATATATCTAAATTACTTGAAGTAATTCATTTGAACTTTCATTAACTTTGATTTCATATTCAAATCTATTAATTTCTCTTTTGAATTACTTTAAAGTATTAATAAATTCATCTGCTTTAAAAAAATGACTATGTAATTTATTATCTAATTGATATATATAGTTATAAATATCATTATAAATCTATATTTCTAATTCTTGATATTCTTGTTTAAGAATAGATTTGATAGTTGATACATTATAACTTGCTTGATAATAAATTTTAATTTGACTTTAATTTCTTATAGAATTATTCTTTGATTATTTAAAAATTTTTTATGCTCAAAAATCATCATTTCATGATTATGTTCTAAATTTATAGCCAAAATATGTCAAAGACTGGTTTGTAAATTAAATGATGCTCTACTTATAAAAGGATAATTACATTTTTGAGAATGATGATCTCTTTGATGATTTTTTTCTTTTTTTTGTTCAGCAACACTTGCGTGTGAACATAATATAGTTCTTTTTTTAATATTATTATTTTTATCACGTTTTACTTTATCTTTTCATATTTGAAAATTATAAAAATTTGCAAAATTTTAAATTTGTACTATAAAATCATCATGATTTATAAATGTATTTGAAGCTATTAGTTCAGGAACACATATTTCTTCAGATTTCATATGAAAATACAAGTAAGAGTTTATTATTTGTTGTACAATATTAATTTTATTTATAAAGATAATATAAATTATATAATATTACACAAATCAATTTTCATCTAATAAAATTTGTTAAAACTTATTATACACCTCTAGCACAAGTTAAATATCTACACCTCTAGTGTAAGTTAAGAATGCCTTACTTTAGAATTTTTCCTAGTATTATCAGAAAATTTTTTCACTTCAATATGACCTCAATAATTTGTCACCTTGCGTTACACCTTTAAGTTTTTAATTTTTATTATATATTCTAGGAATTTAGAATTTTTTCAGTGTTTAAAAACCTATTTGTTACACTATATTCGTCATATGATTAATTTCATAATTTCATAATACCGGTCAGGGGTGAAAAAATTTTCTGGCGATACTAGAGTAGATCACTTTAGATGATCTTTATTTATAGAATTGAGTAGTGTAGGATCAATCATTTGTGTAATGTATGTCATAAAATAATATAAAAATCTGTTGATCTTATAATTTTTTGGAAAAAAAATCTGTTATAACCTTTTTATCAGGGATTTTAAAAATTCTGGATTTTGCCAGAATTTATAATACTATATTAAACACTGACTATAGAAGCTATTTTAATAATTGTTTAACGTGAGTTCAGCGAGTTTTTGCAATAAAAGGTATTTTAACGCGTGATTTTCTCTTGCTTATATTTGAATTTAAAATGTCATAATAAACAGTGTAGTTGTTTCATAAAACATACATAACACACTTCTTTTTTTATGTTATACACTATACAAATAGTCTGTAATACTCTATTTATAAATAATAGAAAATCTACGTCAGTATTGGGTTTTGAACACATTTTTTAATTTTAAATATTTTGGATAAGATTTTGAACATAGAAAAATGTGTCCATAATCTGTTCAAAATTGTCCAAAATTATCCAATTTCCTAACACTGGTCTACTTATAATAGTTACATTATAGGCTTACAAACTTGAAAATCAGATTTTAATTAACATTGTATTTTTTTCTTCTGCTATATCCACTTCTGCGATAAAAAATAATATCAGATCTGATTATTTTAAACATTTATCTGGGAATTGGAATATTATAGGATACTATCATTTCTGAAAGAAATAATCAGACTTTAGTGACTTTTTTCATAAGGAAAATGATAGCTTAAAAAGGATCTACAAGTTACCATAAGCAGAATTAAGAGTATTAAATACCAGCGTAAACATACTTTGGCATTATATTTGGCTATCCCGGTAAGCAATCAGAAGACATAAGTTGCTCACGATTAAGCAGAGGATACCTGATAGTTACATCATTAAAGACCTAATAGCTTGTTATGAAAAATTACATGCCTTATTTTGATGCCTGATAGCCACTGAAAAGCAAGAATGATTGTTATAATCAAAGATATTTTATATACCTGAAAATGCATTAATTGTTCTCTCAACTTTTGTTTCTCTTTTTTCGTTAGAATCAAATGCATAATGAAGAAATTGCCCATTTCTGGAAGACCTAAGAAAATATAAAAATAGCAAAAATGCATGTAGAGATGACACAGATAAATAAATGTGTATGGAATGTACGTTTATCAACTTCATAATCAGAAAATAACAAATTTGTTTCTGCTATAAGATTGAGGAGTAAATTGGACAATAATTTTGATTGAATGCAAGCACAATAATGATTATGACATTATCATTGTGATTTTATGATGTTGAATTAAAATTATGAAGAAAAGTTCATCATTATTCTAAAAAATGAAAGAACCATTTTTTTAAGGATCACGAAAAAAGGTAAATTTGTTTACTTTTTGTGATAAGCTTTATAATATAATTTAACAAATTTTGATTTTTAGGCAAATTATACTTTGAAAAACCTACTGGATTATTCAATAAAATAGCAACAATTATATGCTAAAAAAAACTAAATTTCAAGAATGACAACTTTTTAATGGAAATGTATCAACGATTATTTTTGATTATTATTATTTTTTTTTTATTAACTTTTGAGAGTAATAATAATAATGAATCAATAAATAAAGATCCTTTTGTTAACTACTACAAGATACTAAATGATATTTAAAATTAACCGCAAGGATTGGATTAAAAAACTAATTTCAAAAATTACAGCTGATAAAATTTAATTAATTCTGATTCCGCATAATTGAATTGATATTGCGAAATTTGAAAAAAAACAAATTATCTAACTACTCGCTAGAAAAAGTTTTTTTGGGGATATTTATTAATTAGAAAATTAATGACAAGCCCGGAGTAAAAATTATAAAAGTTATAATTCGATACTAAAAGTAGGCGATAGAATTTCTTGAAAACTTTCAAGTATAGTTAGCACAATATTTCTTAATTACTTATATTATTTTATTATATGATTATTGACTTTATAAACTTTATTGATTTACCATTACATATACAATACGATTTATTTATCTCTGATTTCTAAATAAATCAACTATTCAATATACGATGCATTGTTATCAAAGAAAATGATTATTCTAATTGTTTAATTAATTTGTTCGATAAGAAAAATAGTTAACCGAAATTTCGATTTGTTGTGCTCGTCATTAAAAGCAATTAATTAACTATAATACTTAATTAGAATTATATAATATAGGTTAAACATATAACCATTTAATTCATATGAGATAACGAACTCTTGATATAACAAAATTTCGTCATGTAAAAATAAGGAGAAATTACAATAAGAAATTATAACATGAAGGAATGAGGCTTAAAAAAATTAAGTAAAAATTTCAGCCTATTATGATTCGTATACGCATTTAATCTAGATTGGACGAATTCATATTTGCCACGTTAACTATAAAATTTTTTTTTAAAAAAATCCTCAAAATATTTCTTTTATTCTTTTTAATTATTAATTCTATTAATTACAACCACCGAAATGAAGTTAAAAGAAATTCCACGTACAGCTACTTTTGCCTGGAGCCCTGGACAGCATTTGCCTATAATAGCTACAGGAACTGTAGCTGGAGCTCTTGATGCTTCGTTCTCAAATACTACCGAATTAGAATTATTCCACCTTAATCTTAATAAATCTGATTCTGGTGTAGAATTACAAAGTGCCGGAGTTATCAATAGTAACGCGAGGTTTGTATCATTGAATAATGAATATAACTAATGACTCGCCTGAAAGTTTACATAGTTGTTTATCCTGAAGCTAAAATCTTATCTTTTGTTATATTGGTATAGATTCGATCGACTTGTATGGGGAGTTGCAAATGATAAATCATATGGTATTGTCGCTGGTGGTTTGGAAAATGGGGAATTAGATTTATATGATCCGGCAATAATTTTAGAGGGTGGAGAGTGAGTTAATTTTCATTTTTATAGAATTTAAGTATTAGATGTAAGAATGCTGAGTTTAATATGTTAAACATTAGTCCATATATTCATGTATTTATGAATATATTTTTATTTTTATAATGATAAAGTTCTGAAGAGGCACTTATTCTAAGAAATACTGCACATTCGGGAAATGTTCGTGGGTTACAATTTAACCCATTTCAAATTAATTTATTAGCATCAGCAGCAACCAATGCTGAGGTATTATGATATCATTATTTTAGCTATATTTTTAATTAAAGTACTATGTTTCTTTAATGAATTAATCATGCTGATTTTTACCTAGATATTTATTTGGGATTTAACGAAACCAGATAAACCATATACTCCAGGCACTAGGTCGCCAAAGCTTGAAGATATTACCCACTTAGCTTGGAATAACCAAGTACAGCACATTTTGGCAACCTCTTCAAACACGGGATCTACTGTAATATGGGATTTAAGAAGTAAAAAACACGTAATGGATTTATCATTTGGCGGTTCAACTGTAGCTGGAAATTATGGTATGGGAAACAACATGACTTCTGGAATTACAGGAGTTAGAAGAGGTACAACCGCAGTTGCTTGGAGCCCGGATAATGTAGGTTACCGCTTTTAAATCACATAATTTAAGCATATAAAGTTTATAATAATATTCTCTCAATTAACCAAAAGGCTACACAAGTTATAACCGCATCCGAGGATGATATGAATCCTGTGATTGTTATTTGGGACGTCCGTAACGCTCATGCTCCTGAAAAGGTATAATGAAATTATTACAAGTCTATTTGTTTTTAAATTTATTCATTATTGTTGATATAATTTATAGATCTTAACAGGCCACCAAAAGGGAGTTTTATCACTTTCTTGGTGTCAAAGGGATGCTGATTTGTTATTATCATGTGGCAAAGATAATAGAGTTTTGTGTTGGAATCCTAGAACTGCTGAAATAATAGGAGAGGTATTTATTCCTTTTAATGTTTCTCTTTAATAGAGCAATAATAACATTATTTTTAATTCTTATAGCTTCCTGCAAGTTCGAATTGGGTTTTTGACGTTCAATGGTGTCCTGGTAACCCCGATTTATTTGCTTCCGCATCTTTTGATGGCAAGGTATTAAATGTTTTAAGAGGCAATTAACTTTATTAATTTATTAAGAATTAATATATGTAAATTTATAAATTTAAAAGGTTAATGTACATTCGTTACAATCCGGTCAAAGTACAAATGGACAGCAAGGTTTATTAGATAGCAATGACCCATTTGCACAGATAGCATCATCATATGAACCTTCCCTCACACTTAAACAACCTCCAAAATGGCTTAAACGGCCTGTCGGAGTAACTTTTGGATTTGGTGGCAAATTAGTGTCGTTTAATAATAAAGTTGCCGTAGGTGCTGCTACTCAGTTAAGACGTATTGTTACTATTTCAACAGTAGTTACTGAACCCGAGATTGTTCAAAGATCAAATGAACTTGAATTTTCGATCGAATCAAAATCTTTAGATAGCTTTTGTGAAAGTCGAAGCAAAAGTGCGCATAATGAATTGGAATCTGAAAATTGGAAAATACTTCACACAATGTTTAATGAAAATGAAAATGCAAGAGAACAATTAGTTAAACATCTTGGATTCTTAAAAGCTGATATAATTACGCAAATTTCAACTGCAATACAAAATATGAGTATTAACGGTTCTGTGAATATCGAAAAAAAAGCTGAACCCGAGAAAAAACAAGATAAGGTAAAACAAACAAGCGTTTCAGAGGCAGAAACTGTGCCTTTGCCTACCAGTCCTAAATCAGAAGAAGGCCACGGTACAGTGGATCAATCCGTTGTCAAATCTGAAAATATAGAAGAACTTTTTTCTGATCAATCTACATCTGGTGGTGGTGGTCCTTCCGATGCTTCGGATTTCTTTAATTCCGAAATTATTTCTGATACTTTTCCTGTTCATAATCCCACCTCAACTTACAAAGCGCAAACAGTATCTTCATCTATTAAAGGAATTTTTAAAATATATCCGGCTCAAGAATCGGATGTGGATAAACTTATTACAAGATCTATTGTTCTTGGAGATTTTGAATCTGCTGTGAACTTGTGTATAGAGTCGGATCGATTATCGGACGCTGTCCTTTTAGCTGGTTGTGGTGGTAACGAACTTTTACAACGTACCAGAAACGTATATTTTGAAAGAAAGTCTTCTAATATTCCTTATTTGCGTTTACTTCAAAGTATTGTATCTGAGGATTTATCGGACATTGTATATAATGCAGATTTATCTGAATGGCAAGAAATAGTAGTCGTTCTTTGTACGTTTGCCCGTTCTGAAGACTTTGGCGAATTATGTAATGCGTTAGGTCAAAGACTTGAACAAGAATCTGAAGCTTGTTTAAATGATAAGCCAAAAGGAGCGGAATTTCGGAAAAATGCAGTATTATGTTACCTTGCGGCAGGAAATCTTGAAAATGTTGTTAAAATTTGGATTGCCGAGCAGGAAGAGGAGGAGCAAGTTGAACTAAAACTTGCTGATCAGGATGATACTAAATCTTCTAGTTCTAGATATTCATTCCATGCCAAAACTCTTCAAAGTCTCATTGAAAAGGTTACTGTGTTCCGCAAAGCTATAGATTATGTTGATCCTGATTTGGTTCAGAATTTGGACGCTAGTGTCACAGAAACAAATAATAAAATGTTTAAATTGGCTAATTTATATGACAAATATGCTGAGTATGCTGAGATTTTAATCGCTCAGGGTAGACTGGCAACTGCTCTTAAATATTTGAATCTAACGCCATTGGAATACAGGCAAATGGATGTGAATGGTGTTGATCCGTTAGCTGCGATCAGAGAAAGGTTATATCATTCAGGAGTTGACGTTAGTGGTATTAAGGTACCACCTGCGTTCCCATTTGTAGCCAATCCTCCACACCAACTTCAACAACCAATTCAACAACCAATTCAACAACCAATTCAACAACCAATTCAACAACCAATTCAACAACCAATTCAACAACCATATCAACAACCATATCAACAACAAATTCAACAACAAATTCAACAACCATATCAACAACAAATTCAACAACCATATCAACCACCAATTCAACCACCAGTTCAACCACCCCAAAACTTACTATATAATCAATATGCATATAATGCTCCAATTCAACCTCCAATTCAACAACCCCAGAAATCACCATTTAATCAATATGTATATAATGCTCCAAACCAGAACCAAACAGGTTATCCTTACCCGCAGCCCGCTTTTCCTGTTCATGAAAATGTAAATTTAATTCCACCTCCACCTCCACCAATTGCCAATACAAATCTTCAAAATACAAATCTTTCTCCACAAGATGTTTCGGCTGTATTTAAGAAGAATTTGCCTAATTGGAATGATCCGCCATCTGTATCATCAGCTCAGGCAGCAAAAAAGACTATTCAAGCACAAGCAAACAAGCCACTGCCAATCACAACTCCTTTCCCTTCATCAACTTCCCCTGCACCACAGGGAACAATACCACCACCTGGAGTTCACGGTCCAAATCAGAATATACAAGGAGCTACTAATTTGCAACCACCACCACCACCACCACCACCAGCAAATCGTGTAGATCCTACAACTGCTGGGTATCAAACAGCACCTACAACCGCTGGGTATCAACCTAATTTCCAGATGTCTCCTCAGACAGCAGGAAATTATTATACACCACCACCACAACAATCAAGAGCGTCACCGCAATCACATGCACGACAAATGCCGTATTACGGAGCTGACCGCTCAACTCCCACTCCACCTCAAGCTGTTGGATATGGAGATCAACAAACCCCAGTTGTACAACCCGCCAGAACACCTACTCCAGCGAAGACGCCTACGCCCGTAAATAAACATCGTAAGTTTATTTTGAAGTTTTTTTTTTTTTTTTTTTTTTAATACATCATTACCATATTAGATAATTTTTATTTCAAATAAATTTAGCTGTTGGTGATAGAACTCATATTCCAGTTACACATAAACCAATTTATGATGTACTCTCTCGTGAATTACAAAGAACTAAACAATATTATAATGCTGTATGTTAAATGTAATTTTAGGATTTTTAATGGTTTGCGTGATAATATATTTTTTTAATAACCATAATTTGTAATTGAAGGGATTACAATCTAAACAATTGGTTGACACAGAAAAACGACTTAATGTGCTATTTGACCAATTGAATAACGAAGAAATTTCAAATCAAATAATCGTGGATATTTTAAAATTAGTTCAAGGTTTGATTGACATAATATAATAATGACAATTTATGCTTAATTCACGAAAATTTAATAATAATAATCATAACAATTATTATTATTTTAGAAATAGAAAAACGCGATTATGTTACTGCACAAAATACTTTAGTTAGTATAATGACTTCATATTCCAGTGAATCAAGATGGTAAGTACCAATTTATTTATTTTATTTTATTTATTCTAAAACTCTGTCTAACGAGTTTTATCGAATTTACAGGCTAGTTGGTATTAAACAATTATTGACGTTGAGTAAAAACGTACAATAAGTTATTTAACATCAAATTTCAAATTTCAAAATTATGATGTTTAATAAATAATAATAATTGGTTTAAAAGTCATGATTGAGTTTTTTGTTAAAATTAATTAATATGATACTATTACAAAAAAAAAAATCAAAACACTTTTGGTTTATACATTAATTTATATGTGGTGTGATGTTATATTGATTGAGAATGTAAAAATAAATAAATATTAATGAAAATAAAATTATTAAAAATCTGTTCGTACAAAAAAAATTTTTTTTTTATTAAAAAATTAAAGCAAATTCATTTTCTTAACAATTATATATTGATTTTAATGGTTCATTATTTTAATAAAAAAAAAAATATATATATAAAAAAGGAAAAAAACAGGAAAGGTACAATAAAAAGGTAAAAAAAAAAAAATTATATAAAGAGCGATAATAATAATAATTAATCTTCGGAGGGAACGTCAACCCATCACACATCAAAAAAAAGAGCAATATAGAAATCATTGCTCGTTAAGGAATTAGTTATTTAACCCTTATAATAACTAATTGGTATTAAAATAGCAAGAGAATTACCCAAGAAGTTATGCATCTCCAAAAGTATTTTCACCAGAGTATCTGTTGAGATAAAACTCACAAAGATTAGTTATTTGTAAGATGGTGCTGCGGCTCAATGATCGATAAATAATGACTTACGTTATGTATAGGAACCCGTCTTCGTCCTTATGCTCTTCATAAATACTTGACATAAGAGCAGCTGTAGGAGGAAGAACTTCGTCCACAAAAATAAAGATCGCTTTCTCGGGGCTCAATTTAATACGTTTACGAATAACATATACAAATTGGCCTACGGTAAGATCAGCTGGTACGAGGTACTTCTTTTTATCGATTGTGGCAATGTCGGACTTTTCAACTTTTTCACAGATAACCTGATTTAAAAGAAATTACATTTATTAAATATAAATGTATCAAATATTTTTGAAGCATTTTTTTTTATTTTATTGTAATTTGTCTGCAATTTCTTTTGCACTAGCTAAAAACAAATGCTTACTGGAATTCTGTCAGGATATTTTTGTCGAATCCTTTCCGCTTCAGCCTTACGTTTTTCTATTCAAAAAAGAAAAAAAAAAAGTATATAGATAACTTTTTCCATTTTCAAGATTAATGGGAAATTTATTTAAAATACTTACCAAAGGGATGTTCATCCTTAAATTTTGACCTCATATTTGTTAATTTTTTGTTTTAATAATAATATGTGTATGAACAGTAAAGAAAAGGACTGAAAAAAAAAAAAGTGTAGAAAAAAAAAAGTGGTGGTTTTTTTAGGGGGGGTAAAGGATTATAAGGTATTTTTATAGAGAAAGACAAATAAGCTTCCAGATTGAGATAATAAATGATTGGATGAATCGGATAAACCGCAGTTTTGTTAATTATGAAGCTTCGTTCACGTAATTATCATCAAATCAAGTAATACAAGCTTGCGTAATCCTCCAAATTTCTTTTTGCTTTCTTCGTAAACAAAGTCTTATGACTAATAAATTATGACTCATGAAGTTACCCGATTCACTGCGGTAAACAAATTCTGCGGATTATATCATCGCACATTCAAAAAACGTGATCCGAGTTGGAAAAGTTCATTATTTTAAAAAGTTCATTCATTATTCGAAATATTTATCCTATGATATACTGTATCTTTCATTAACCATTTAAATGACTAACCAACTGTATACTCATTATAAAATAAAAGTTTCTTTAAAATATTTATTAAAATATATATAATTTTGTGTTTTAATGGTTTAATTACTGTGCAAATCGTAAACAAGTAAAAGAAAGTGCGCATGACAAAAAAAAAAGTAAATTAAAAAAAAAAAAATTTAAATTAATCAAAATTCTCATACCTATTAAAAGATTAATTTTTTTTTTTATAACTTCAACGGGCACGTTTTCTTTTCCTACCACGCAATTCAGATGAAGACGACGATGATGAACTTCTTCTTGATCTAGATGATACACTTGAAGAACTTGAACCACTACCACTATCTGAGCTAAAACTTGATGATGATGCTGAAGTATCACTATCACTATCGCTAAGGGAATCTGAAGATGAGCTACCTGAATCTTCAGAAGACGATGATGATCTTTGAAATCAAGTATTGATTTTAATATTATTTTACATATACATTTTTTTTTTAAAAAAAAAAAATCGCAAATTAACGTACTCATCCTTGCGAAGTCTTTTCTTTTTTCTTTCTTTTTCCTTTTCCTTCTCTTTTTCCTTCTCTTTTTCCATTTCCATTTCTTTTTCTAATAAGGCTTTTTCTGTAAGTTCCTTCCTATTCAGTTAATAAATTATTAAAATTAATAAATTTACATAATTAAATATTCATCATAAGAATTTATTTTATTTACTTTGTTTTAAAATCATCCGGAAGTTCAATTGATATCGGTTTTAAAGGTTTTGTGAGCTGTTGTGTTCTTGTTGGTCGAGCACTATATGCTCGTTTGTTTTTACATTCATATGTCTAAAGTTTAGAAATAAAATTAGTAAAAATAAAAATTTTATTAAGCAACACCCAAAATCTACAAACACTTACCCAATGTCCTGTTTCTAAGCATTTTTGACACTTTGTGTTAGGCGATGGCTTTGATCCTGTACTCGGATACCTTTTTAACAAATCAAGCAATTAATAAAATTTCATTACTTGTGTATTAGCTTTTGATTTAAGACCTTACCTACGTCCGGAAAATCCAGATTTATCCATAACTTTTAGTTTCTATACCTACAAAATAGATGATAAGAAACTTAAAAAGTGATTTATTTGTTTATAAGTTTCGTAATATGAATATTGTGATATTGTGAAACGTTACAGATTCAAATTAGGAATTTCAACTATCCAATCACATTTGCTTAAATTATGATAACCTTTAATACCCCAGATTTTTTGTTTTTTTTTTTTTGATTAATACAAACAAGTTGGAGTTAATTACATTATTTACCTTTTTAAGTATTGATCTATAAGCAAAAAAATTTTTTTTTTTTTTAATTTTATATATTATTGTAATATTGTAAAAAAATAATGTTTATTAATATTTTTTAGATTTCTTTTATTAAGTAATATTAGTAATATTAAAAAATTTTAAAAATATTATAAATTATTAAATTTAATAAGTAAAATAAAATACAAGAAAAATTATTATTATACAAATAATAAAATAAAAATTTAAACATACTTAAAAATTTTAAATTTTATTTACTTTCAAATTAAATATAATTATTAGTAATAATATTAAATAAATTTTAGATAAAAAAAAAAATATTAATATTTGTATTAAGTATTTTATTTAAGAATATATATGGGTACTTTGCAGTAGAAAGGGAGTAAACTACTAAAAAAAATTGTTTTGAATTAATGTTAAATCTGGATCTATTTTACTAAAAAAATAATATTTAACTTAAAAAGTAAAAAAAATTTTTTTTTGTAATTTCTTCCCTTTATACTGCAAAGCGCCCATATATAGTTGTATAATTTAAAATAAAAATAAATTCTAAGAAATTAAATTTATTATTAAATTTAATAATTAAATCTTTTACTACTATTATAGATAATAAAAAAAAATTAATTAAATATAAAGTTAAATAAATAAATTAGTTAGTTTCTCATCATTATTCAGATTATATGAAATATTGTAAAAAGAAAAATTTTATTTTTTAATCTTACACTGAATAAGTATAATAACTTTGATTCAAAAAAAATTTTTTTTATATATATTTATATATTTAGCATTAAATCAAAATTATATTATACATATATTATTATTATATTATTTATATACTTAGCAATAAATTATTATTAATATATCAAAAAAAAAAAAAAATCTCAATTTTTTTTTTTGTTCTTTTCCCTTTTCATTTATTAGATTAAATATTATTTAATGAAAATTTCAATCTTCTACCTATTTTAATTAATATATTTAGATATTTAATATATATTTTATAGTAAAAATATTATTTTCAAATATATTAAATTAAGAAGAGATCTATTAAATATATAAGTATACCTTTATATAATTACATCATTAAGTAGTTTTGAGAATATGATTGTAAAAAGAGCTAACTAGTGTTATCAAAAAAATTTTAAAATAATATAATTATACAGTAATTTTATAATGAAATTCTTAGATTTTGAAATATTGTTTATAATTATTTTAAAGAATTTTATTAAATTGCAAAAAATTTTTTTCTATTGCATTAATTTTAGTATTTTTAAAATTATTTTTTTAATAATATAATAGATTATATTTAAAAAGTAAAAATTTTTAAATGTAAAATTTTTTTGTAAAGCTTTATAAATTTTTATTTTTAACTTAATATTAACAATATTAATATTTTATTTATAATTAAAAAGTTTAGTATAAAATAAATTCAGGTATTTTTATAATAAAAGTTAAAGATTAAAAATTAATGAATAAGCTAAAAATTTTAAAAATATTTAATATTATATCAGCTTTATTAATTAAAGATAATAATATATTAGAATAAAAATTTAATATATCAGTATTAGAAATATCTATAATAGATTTTAATATAGATAATAATAATAATACAAGTCTAAATATTAATAAAAATATATAAAATGTTGATAAATAATATCTAGATAGATTAACATATTAAAAGATGAATAAAGTAATACTAATAAATTAAAAAAATAATAGTAATAATAATGATAATAATAAATAGAATATAATATTAATGTGATAAATATTTTTAATTTATCACATTTAACAAAAAACAAAAATGCTAAAAAGAGATTTCATAATATTTTTTATTAAAAATTTAGGTGAATCTAGTTATTTATCTGATTTTAAATAATAATAATAAATGAAAAAATTATATAATAATTATAAAAATTATATTTTATAAGTTAAATCAATTGAACATAATCCAATTGAATTTTTGAATAATATCTAATAGTCTAAATAATTCAAATAATCATTGTTAGGATATAACTGATTACTACTTAAAAATTAGCACTTTTATTATAATTAAATTGCTATAAGGTTACCTACAATTTATAATAAATTAATTTAAATTAATATATGATTGGTATTATCTGAAACAATTCAGCAGTAAAAAATAATAAAAATCAACTCTATTATACAATTAAAATTTATTTAATAAATAAAATTGCAAAATATTTTAATTTATATAATTATTGTAAAATAAAAAAGAGTTTTATTTATTCTCCTATTTGAAACTTATATTATTATAATACATATTTTTTTATGCTACTTTATTTATTTATAAATCAAATATCTATAAATTTTAACTAATGAAAAAAACTATTTTCGCCGATCACTAAAACCAAAAAATGACTGGAAAGAAAAACACTCATAATAATAACTCCAAACCTTACCAAGCCCGCTCCTCTCCTATGGTGAACGACCAACAACAACAACGTTCAGCTAAAAAACAACATATTGAACTACCAAAACAAATAGAAACCTCAAACGCCTCTGGAAGTAACTCTAACAGCTCCACAGATATGGAAGTTGAAACCTCACTTCCTAATACTTTAGACAAAGGAAAAGGTCCTGAAACTTCCAACAACAATGCCAATATTCCCCTTGATGAGGACCAAGCCTTTGATGCTTCTGAAAATGGTCTCAACAACAAACAAAATGATAAAAACGAAATCCACTTAGAGCGCGAAACTGAAGTCTCAATCCAACAGAGACAAACAAAATGAAGCATGTGATTTATTTGTATCATATTACTCGTCTTTTATTGGTGCCTCAATTTGTACTCACCCTGAGAACTCAATAAAGAAAATCATTCGAATTTGTTTTACTTCACATGCTGAGGCAAATAATGCAATTACACTCAAATCCATGTTTGGAAAATAACACATTTTTACCCCTCACAATTAAACCAATAGCTAAGTACATCCCTGAGTTGTCAATCCGCCTCACTGAAATCCCAATCTCTACTACTGAATCAAATATTAGATCGTCCTTTTCCTTTTTTGGAAAGATCTCCTGTTGCGTCATATCCACTAAAAACCTTTGGTAGCAAGCTACTCTCACATTTGAACAAGACACAGATATGACTACCCTTAACAAACTTAACAGCTATTTTGTTCTTAAAGACTTAATTAGGGTCCATCCATGTACTATGTCAACTGAAGATGTTAGAAAAAAATCAGAATTTTCTTTGAAATTAACTA